TACTAAAGCTTCATGCTAGATAGCATTTCCAGCCAACTCTGAAAATCGTAAACTTCACGTAACATTTAAAATGAGAATAAAAATATATTTTTTAAGGGATTGGTATCATCTTAGATTTAGTTCCTCTTTTGAGACTTCAGACAGTGTATTTCCGTGTTTTTTGAACGCATCGTTCCAGTATATTTTTGACTGTTTCAAGGTGTTAGAAGTCTTAATATCCTTTTAAAGATTCACTTTACAATTTCCTTTCAGTTTTAGCCATCGGCATTCAATAGGTTGTAGTTTCGATCAATTTGCATTTGGTAGATCTCTCGATTTGTTTTCCGAACTAGTGTTGAATAATACCATCCTAAACAAAAAAATTTCCAATGTCACCAGCATGATAAAAGCTTTCCTTGGTAAATTCATATAATTCACACTTTAATCGCAGTGTTAATCACGCATTTTCATCATTTTCCGAAAATTTAAAATGTGCAGGAGGTAGCCTTCCATGTGAGTGCAAAATTAAAATGAATAATTTACCGTAGAAACATCACAGAATCACACCGGGTGAAAAACAGTTAGTTAACTAAATCGTATTCCTACGCGGTTCAAGCAACAGTTTCCCGGGATTTGTGCAGAGATTTTCCGCCTGTTTTCCTTTGAGAATTTTGCAACCATCATCCATATAACAGTTCTCACTTCGAAATTTAGGTGGCGAAAGTTCGCAAAACTTTCACTGCAAGACGCCAATCGGAAGACAAATAATGGATGCAAGTTCTTTTTTCAATCAATTTATTGTAATTAAATTTTAGCTGCTAGCTTGCGTGTGACAGTAAATTATCAACTTCCTTATTTACGCATAATTTTAAAATCTACGATTATGAGTGGTTTGTATTATTCATTCTTATTTTTTAATTCCACGCAATAATCATCAAATAAATGCAGTAATAAGCCAGAAACCAGCAAAATTTTATATGACATTAATGTATGTCACGATCGCCACTGATCTTGTTTGCTTCTTTGGGCAAAAATGTTCTGTCATTGACAGAAAACAGTACTGAAATGTCATGACATTTTCACCGGTTTGTTTGTGTGTGTTTTCGATATGGTCGAAAAGTATCAAATGTTTAGGAAAAAATGTTAAAAGTTATTAGTCTACCACCACTGCTCCCATGCCTACACAGCAAAAAATTAAATTTAATATTACATCCAAGAGAATGCATTTCAATCATGTCAAAAATCTTATGTATTTTTTATGGCCACAAAAATAAACACATGCCGTAAAAGCAGCGTAATGTCAGGTTGAAATGTTAATGAAAATTTTGTGCTTTTTGGCAAGTAATATTACACCACATTTTCGACACGATTGAAGTGCATCCTTTTTGATGTGATATTAAAATTATTTTTTTGCTGTGTAGAGAAGTGAGCAATTCCTGAGTGTTAATGGTAATTAAAGCCATCAGGTTAAAATTGAGGAGAACGAAGGTAGCTTTGATTTCAAATTCATCCGATGGAGTTTGGTTAATTCTCGATAACCTACATAATAGGGTGGGTCAACTTGACAACCTCGTACTCTAATGATGATGATGCTCGTGCTCTTCACTGTTATTTCAATCAATATTGAGGTCCCCATCATCTTTGAAAAATTTGAACGAATTTAGTTATGATCTGGGGCTTCATTTCTCAAGTCGAATCGACTAACTTTTTCATACAAAAAATGCTTCGTTTCAAAATGAAACCCCTGGATTTGTGCGAGAACTATAAAGTTTGTATGGAGAAATGCAATGGAAACGGAACAATCCTAGTCATTCGTTTGTCAAAAATTCAAAACCTGCTCATTTTTTAACAACCCTGGGACTTAGAATGGAAAAACTATGCCGAACAACCGAACAAGATGAGGGCAGGGCTGGCATGATAATGTTTTAGCACAAATTGCTCATTCGATAATACTATAAGGTAGGTCAGTCAGTTTTGCCACTAGTTAGTAACCATATTAAGCTTTCACGTTTAATAAAAAATATACGCCCAAGTGTTGAAGTATGCTAGGGGAAATGGATGTAATGTCAGCCTAAATGTCCCTAATTTGGACCCATACATAAATTCAGCAATCGACTAAATTTTCAATAGCGACCAAAAATATCCATTAGTACAGTCCCAATGACGTGTTCATCTAGATAAAATTGATAAATAGCAGATTTTTTGCGATGCGCCCAATCTTAGATCCATATGCCAACATTAGAGTTATTTCCCCTATATAATCAATTGAAGTTAAGACTATCCTGAATATTAAAACGATGTGACATCTTTCAAATTTGAGTCACAATCATCTTAAGGGGGGGAGTACACATTGATTTTTCAAAAAAAAAATGCATTTTTTTGGCTTAAAATGTTCCTTGGGATGTATACTTTAATTTAGAAAAGACTCCAAGTCCGCCAGAATATTCCTTACCGCTTTACGAAGCGATTTCCTAAAACATGTACCGGCGCGCTGAGAGAGAGATTTTATCTTTAAACGCGTTTATCTCGAAACGGGGTTTTTCAAACTGGCGTGGGAAATAACTCTAACCAGTTATCATCAAATTTGGATATCGCCTAGGTTTTCTTGTTCAGAATTAAATTCTGCTTACACACTTAATCTAGCTCGGTAAAATCTCCAACAGCCGATTGCTTCGGCATTTACTTTTGCTGATATCTCTGCAAAATATCTGTTTGTTAGCTGATATCTCAGCGAAATGTTATTTGTTAGCTGAGTCTCGGCAATTGTTTTACTGAATCTCTGCGAAATAAATTGCAGAACTGCTCGGCTGTTGGAATCTCGGTGAAAAAATTTAAGTGTGTAGAAATACGTATCCACATTTTCGATTTTGTCAAAAATGGATCTTAAATCCACGATTTTGTAAGCATTTTTAGGGTGAAAAAATGGACTTTTTTTTTCCTAAGGCCACAACTTTTGAAAAAATTAATTTAAAAAAAATCGGAATACGTATTTCGAACCCAAATTTCATAACTAATCAGGATTTTTGTTCGATTTATGTTCCAGGATCACATGGAAAGGAGTATTTTCCCACGCCGTTTTCCGACTTCCGCGCGAGGACGCCCGCGCGACCTGGTGCACCGGCCACGGGGAGACGCCAATCGAGTTCAAAAAATACAAATTGTAGTTCGAAGGATGACTAATAAATGGGTTATAACATATTTGCCCTCCCTGAGTGTTTTATTGCTTAAAAAAATTAACGAAAAGGCCTTACTTTCTGGACGTTCAAAGTGTACTACCCCCTTAATACATAATTTTAAACTTCTAGCTTCAGTGCCAGTTTTGACATCAGTTATTCTTTTATTGGCATTAGGTATGCTCCAGTTTTTTTACCTTAGTGATTATTTCAATGGAGCATTCTTCCATTGTTGCTAAAAGATGCAATGGAATCAGGCTGATTTTGAAACAACTTCTTCATTTTACTCATAAATTTAAAGGATTTAAAAAACGAGCTACAGTTGAGATAATTCCATTAGAAAGGGCCACTCAAATATCTAACAAGCTTATACATTGCATAGCATAGACCAAGTCACACAATTTCGTATGTGGTACACGCTCCAAACTGTTTTTATGTAGAAGATCCATCTCGATCCGTAACTGTTAGATAGTAATTTGGGATTAATCACTATCTCTTAGATAAAAGAAGATTCACCTTCCAACCACCCAGAGCTGTCCTGGCCCGCCCTTACAAGTGGTGAGGATGGGAAAGGAATGTTAGTCCGTCATTTAGAATTTTGGGCCCATACCTAAATTCAGCAATCAACTAATTTTCAATAACGTACAAAAATATCCATTAGTACCGTCCCAATGACGCGTTTATCTAGATAAAATTGATAAATAGCAGATTTTTAGCGATGGGTCCAATCTTAGATCCATAGGCCAACATTAGAGCCATTTCCCCTACTCCGTTGTTGTTATATTCGGCTGTTGTCTACATAAAATACTTTACGCGAATTGATATTGCGTGAAGTGATATTCCGGAGGTGGAACTTGGTGAGACCTAAATCATTTTAAATCAATTATGAAGTCTTATTTCCAAAACTACTAAATACGTGCCTGATTTAGAAATGTTTCATGTTTTCAAATCACACTTTCAGTTGTTGAGTGTTTGCATGAAACATGCAAACTTTTGGAATATAGAAAACCATGGACATGGATTGAACCCAGGCCTTTTGAATTGAGAGGTAATCACGCTTACCATTACACCACCAACGCCGCTAATACTTTTTTCTCTGATTGTAATTAATGTAATTAATTGCAAATCACTCATACCTCGACTGTAATTAAAAGCATGTTGGTTGCCTTTTCCGACGTTAGGTCGTGTGTCGAAAAAAAAGTTTCTGTCCCCTACGTGATGTATGGAATCGAAGAGTGTACTACATATATTGTTCATGTAGTATATTTGCTTCCATGTAGGTAAATCTCAATTGGCAAACCTACTGAACTAGGAACAGCTCTTCTGAACCAGCCTAACCTGTATACTAACCCATGTTATAGTTAATATATTAGGCGATCAACTTTACACTTCATACTAGCTCGGTCTGTACCATGAATCGTTGTTGCTGTTGTTGTTATTGAAGAGCTGTTGTCGCGGTTCGGCTTCATTCATCGGTAACGGCTGACGGCCAGGGTGCCGATGTCTCTTTCTTTCGTGCCAGCGTCGATTTCCGCAAGCCAGCCGGACGACGTCGCTGCTGCTGTTGTCCTCCCCCGCGCTCGGTTGCGCTCGTTGCAGCACAGTTAGTGTATGCTAGTGTGGTCGACGAATCAATCTGTTGGCCAAGGAGCAAAATAGCGCAGAAAATCCTGCTGCTCGCGTTCTCTTTCACTCGAGCACCAACACAAACGCACATACACCCCTGTACGATCGACACACGAGCCCACGAACCTCGCTGGGGAAAGAGAGTACAGGTCATGTTAGAATATAGAAACGTTGGATCCCGAGCGCGGGCTGGGTGTGGTGTTACTATAAAAGACAAGAATTGATCCTCCAAAGATCAGTGTTCGGTACTCAATTGGAAGTTTAGTGTTAAGCGACAAAAATCGTTCCGGTAACACCGAAGTCCAATCTGAAGCAAAAGTGTGAATCCAAGAAAATAACAAAAATGTACTCGAAAATGGTAAGGATTGGTGAATGTGAAACAAAGTGGAACATTTAGTGAAGATTCCCCGGATTAGGTGGAATCGTTTTTAAAGGACTTTTGTGATGAAATGAGAGTGGACAGTGATCGAAGAATATTCGTTGATAATTGAACACGTGTTTTTGGATTGCAGATTGCTGTTTTGGCGTTTGCCGCCGTTGCTGTTGCTGCTCCACAGCACCAGGAAGCTGCCCGATTCCCAGCTGGAGTGGATCCGGCTGCTTGTCCATCATACCCCAACTGCGACAACGCCGCCCTGCACAACCCACAACCACAAAACAATCACGCTGCTAACCACTGGAACCCGAACTGGAACGCTCAGCCAGCTGCCCCATCCTGGAATGCTCAGCCAGCTGCCCCATCATGGAACCCTCAGCCAGCTGCTCATTCGTGGAACCCACAGCCTGCTGCTCCAGCGTGGAATGCTCAGCCAGCCGCTCCAGCATGGAACGCTCAGCCAGCCGCTCCATCCTGGAACGCTCAGCCAGCCGCTCCATCCTGGAATGCTCAACCACACTGGAATTCCTTCCCAGCTGTTTCAGGACCAGCTAATAATCACTTGGCTTCCGCTCCAGCTCCAACTGCTGGTGGTGACAAGTATGTGCCTCATTAGAAATCACAATCACACAAAGTACTCAACAGACTATCGTTCATCTCCCACAGGTACCCAGCCGGTGTGAACCCACAAACCTGCCCCAACTACCCATTCTGTGATAACTCTGCCCCAGCTGGAGCCCAACAGGTTGCCCCTCTGCCAGGATACACTGAACGCCAGTACCCCGCCGGAGTGTCCCCACACAGCTGCCCAAACTTCCCATACTGTAACTAAACTTCTGTGATAAGCCATTCTGACCTCAACTTGAAATCTTGACCCTTTAGACTATCCGTTTACCTATTGCTAAACTCATGCTTTATGCTACCTACCTTTCCGAATACTCAACTAACCTCCAGTCCCATTGGGGTTGACATTGTGCCAATGCTAACCCAACTCCCAACATACTGCCATGTTTGTTTCGTGTAAATACTGTTTCATGAATAGTACGTGATTCACCGTTAAAGTTGTGCATGTGTAATGATAGTGTTCCTTTTGAGTCACTTTTTTTGTTTTTGTGTGAAAAAGACAATGAATATAGATGAAATTAAATGCAATTTTGATATTTAAATATTACCTTCTTCGTTTTATTTGGATCGCCCTTTTGATAATATCATGCTCATCAATATTTGTGCACGATGCAATTTATCGATACTTACTGGAAAACATTGTAGAGAAATAAAAACTCCGGAGTGATTTGAGAATGCTTGAAATATCGTTGGGGCGTAAGGACTGTTCAGTTTATAAAAAGAAAAATTAAAATTGCCTGTAACTTTGATGTATCCCGTATTGTTTATTTGGGATGTTTAAAGATAATATGCAAAATAACATTATGCACTACTTAAATTAATTAGTATCAAACCATAACAGTTACTGTTGAATAAACATTCGAAGTAAGTCGATATAAAAAACATTCGCATAACATCACAACATAGCAAGCCTCGTTGGATAATTACGACGAGTGCTGAAAAAATCGAGTTTTGCAAAGAGTTGCATACATTTTATATTTCAATTTTGAAAAATACTCTTTGAGTTTTAATTATTTCTATCTGTAGAACGCAGATTCAAGTGTAACTGCATATGAACAGCCATGCGTATGATTAAAACATTCTGATCATTCTGTGCTCCATTTAGAAAATTTACACTTGAATTTGACACTTCGAAAATAAATTAAAATGTTCAAAAATCCCTCTGTTGTTGATCGACCGATTTTCGAAAAAGTTTCTGTCAAAATTGATTGCTTGTCTGTCAAAAATATGTCTGCTGGAAGAGCAAGTTTATTTGAAAATTTAAGAGAAAATTCACCACACAGCCTTAGCAACGTCGAAAAGGACTAAGCAACGTGCAAAGAAGTCTTTCCCGAGCAGGAACGAATATTTCGATACCTTAAATTGGTATGGATGAGACTGACATAAGATGTAAAATACCAAAAAATAATACCACAAAAATCTCGCGTCACTTTTCAAAAGGCCCTAACTAACAAATGTAAACAAATCAAGTTAAACGATACAAACTATTGCTCTTCTATCAGTGTATGTGATACAAAAACACCCATCAAAATTTACTGTCATTTATTTAAAATAATCATAGGACAACGATTGTCCAATATACAGTTTGAAATGATGGGTACATGATTGTTACTTCGGTCATTTGGACTGCCTAACATGATTGGTGCTCATTTTCTAAAGGCGGGGCCAATCTAAAGTTAGATAGTCTTCTCTGAATCTGTGAAAGGGAATCTAGTATCTTGTATAACAAAACGTCCAATGTAACACTCATTGATTATGTCATTGAGAAAATAGTTCAATGTAACATTTCTAATGTACAACTTGACTAGTCAAAACGTCATATGTGGTTATTTTCTATATTGTAGCATGAAATTCAAAGAAAAATTATTTTACCGTTTCTACTGAATTTTCAACGTTATTATTTCACTGACTACATTAAAAATAGTATTGCAAAATGTATTATTTCTAAACAGTTAAAATCATAATCTGTCGAACTTCAACTTCGATTTTCTACGCGAGAAATGTTCCCACAATACCATTCCAATGCCAAATTATGATTATGCAATACCAAAACAATACCACATAGGTATTGTTTTGGTATCCTAATATCAATTTTTGTTAATTTCAAAGTATTTTGCATGTAATTTTTTGGTATTATTCTTTGGTATTTTACCTCTTATGTCATGCTGGTGAACACCAAATTTTGGTATCAAGTCAGGATTAGGTATTCATTAGTTAATTTCTCATGCGCGGGTTGCAGCACTCATTACTGAAAAGTGTCATTTTTCAACACTGTTTTGAATAACATAATGGTCAAATTTTCATAACTAAAATATCAGTGTTGAAAAGTACTACTTTACAGCATCCTGTACCAAAAAATTCTACCTTTCGACAGTCTTATGAATGCAAAAAAATATGTATGCAACTCGATGCAAAATTCGATTTTGTCAACACTCGTTGTAATTAATAACTACGACTCGTGTCGAAGACATCTTCTTATTGCAAAATTCTTGACTAAATAGGGGA